AAATACTACACCATTTATATAAGGGTCTTGAGTATCCAAAGAGTTTGGTATCTGTGGGTGGTTGGGGGTCTGGAACTAGTACCCCGTGAATGTGGAGAGATTACTACAGTTTAAATTTCAAGAGAACCAGGGCTGCCTGGTTAGCTCAGTTGTTTAGAGTGTGGTGTTGATAACTCTAAGGTCAAGAGTTCGGATCCCCTTACTGGCCAGCCTCTAGAAAAAATACATAAAAATAAATTTCAAGAGAACCAGACAGGAACAGTTACCCTTGATCATGGGTCCTTTGCCTGGGGAGTTAAAAGATAAAGAAAGTACAAAGGAAAGAAATTAGGGCCATTTCATTTCTGTTCTGCATCAGAAAGCGTATGTACAATTCTGTGATACTGTGGCTTTTGCCTGTTTTTTGCCCTGTTTTTTGTAGCCTGCTACCATCTGTAACCCTCTTCCTCAGTGCAAAACTGATAGGCCATTAAATGCTTTTCAGAGATCTGCCAGCCATAAAATTCTACATTTTGGACTGACTGGTTCTAAATAGATTTTATCTGTAAGGATGACTGATGTTTTCTGAATACTTAGTTTAATTTTATTTTTCATTAATAAAGCATGTCTGTAAAATAACCTAAAAGTACTAATTCTTTTTTTTNTTTTTTTTCTTTTCAGTTTACATGGTCTGGTAATGATACTGCAATATGGACTTCAAAAGTTTACCGTGCTGTGCCCTTTTGTGTTGTTTTTGTTTCTCAATAATTTACATTTACTCTTGAAAATTCATTCTGTTAGGTGTTGCACCCAATCTTCCTACAATACCCTCAGCCTCAGATTTCAACACCGTCTTATCTAGTGACCAGAATACTTTGGATGGGACACACTCTCAGCATAGCACTAGTCAGGATGATGTGGCAGGTGTAGAAGAAGCAAACCAAGGGTTTCCTGCTGTTCAGCTTGCTGATGCACAGGTGAGCCAGCCTGTTTTTCCCTAATTCTAATAATGCCTCCTTAGGCAGTACTTAGTAACTAGAACCATCAAGTAGTATGCACCCTGGGATTCTTGTGAAATTCTGTGCCTGTCTACTTAAAACCTTCAAGCAAGTGGGAGGAAGAATCTTTAAAAAGTACATGGGTTAATTATAAATGAAAATTAAGTATTTATACATGATCATTAAACAGAAGAGTTTCATATAGTAACATTTTTGTTGTTTGTAACAAATTGGCTAAGTAACATGACTAGAAAGTTAAATTTGATCATATCCTATAATCCTTAATGCTATGTGAAGACTTTATTGAGTGAGCAATGAGGAGGCATTGATGATTTTAGGGAAGAGGAATAAAGTAACTAAACCCATACATGTAGAAATATTATATGAGTAACAATGTATTAAGTGGGTTGAAGTAGAGAAACTAGAGGTGAAAAAATGAATTACTGAAATACTTCACACAAGAGGTATTGGGACTCTAACTTAGATGGTTGTGGCTTTGAAAAGTTAAGGAGAGGGCCGGCCCGGTGGCGCACTGTGCTT